CCAATTGGTATAAGAGGGTGGCAGCTCAGGGGTGAAAGCCTAGCATGGGCCGATCCTAATTTGTGGAATTATGAGGACAACATCCCAGGGGTTAAAATGCCTAGCATAGATCATCTTCTTCTACCGTTGATCAACTGGTCATTTGTATCATATGTCGTATAAATATTATAATGCAAAGAAAAGTAAAGAAAAGAATGTAACATACACGATTCCACAAGTATAAAGCAAAAATGGTCTCTAATCCTTATCTAATGGTATTTGGTTTCACTTGAGCTCGCATTTTACATATGGTTGTATTATGCCTTATATATTCAGTACATTCTTTCGTACTGACGTCCCTTATTGGGGACGTTACATTTCATGATGCAGGTACATGTACTCAACTAGTAGATCTTTCCAATAGAAGCACATGATACTCAGCGGTTGTTGGTGAGCTCCAAGTTGATTCGGGGCTTTGCCGAGTCTGTACTATGCGTATTTCATAGTGGTACAGTCATGGATTCCAGTAGAGGTTTTGTAGACATTGTAAAGCTATCATCTGAATTCATAATTTCACTTGTCACATGTATCGATTCAGCTAGTCAACATGTATTGTATATGAAGTTTCTCATTAGTAAATATATCTGCATAGTAGTAGTTTACTTTCTCATTATAGGTGACTTGTAAAGCATATGTTCATATGGTACTTGTCTGCCTCACCTAGGATTGGGGTGTGACAAAATCGAACCGAATTCTAATTTGGATTGATTTTTTAGTTTGGTTTTGGATTAATAATTCACTTTGTTTGGTTTTCTAGTTTGGTTTCAGATTCAAAAAAATAAAAACCAAATTATATATATATATATATACAATTTTGATGAAGTTTCTAATCATTGACATAATTGAACTGAAAAGAGAAAAATCAAATCAAATTTATTTTGGTTTGGATTGGGTTACACTTAATTCAAAACAAAAAACAGAGAAACTCAAACTGAATAGTACATAATCAAGCCGAAAATCGAATGCACATCAAATATATTTTTGTTTATCATTTTCAACCCTCTCACCAAAGTTATTTTTGTTTATCATTTTCACCTCTCCCCCATTTTGTTTTAAAAATTAACACCCCTGCAACTTTAAAAAATAATTGAACTCGCCCTTTAATGCATTGTCTATTTCTTCCATCTTTTACTTTATGAGTTTCGTATTACTGAATCATTCTTGATATGATACCCCCTTGAAAAAATTAATTAGAAGTGTATTTTACCAAATTAACAGACACTTGAACTTTGCGAATTCTATTATCCCCGTTATTTTTCAATCAGTCCCAAATTTAAAAAGGCAAATGATATTACACATCAATCATTATATGACACGTGTTAATTTACTTTAAAATACAATTTTATTTTTTAAAATTTTTTTCTTTAGATATATTTTTTTTCTTTATTCTTTTTCTCTCTTACTTTTTGAATTATTTTTTTCTCTTTTTTACTTTAGTTTTGATTTCATCTTTAACACATTTTCAATCCCACCCTCAAGTTTAAGTTGAGTTCCTTTCCCCATTTTCTACTTTCTTCTTCCTCTATACCTCACACCCACTCCCACCCTTCACCCCCACGTTTAAGTTGAGCCCCTCTCTCCATTTTTTTACTTTCTTCTTCTACTTTATCGGAACCACTCCCACACTCCACGTTCAAACTTAGCTCCCCATTTTTTTTCTTCTTTAACCAACTTTTCTCTCATGATTCTTTTTTTTACAAAAAATCATACTATTTTCTAGAATTTGTTGAGTTATTGATAGCAAAATTAATTATTATTCTTAGCAAATTCAAAATTTGGAGGTATCATCAATTAATTTATTTCATTTTCATATAAACTCAAAAATAAAAATAATAATCATGAAAAGAACTAATGAAATTCCAAAAACTGAAAGAAGCTTGACTGAAATTCGAAAAAAGAAGAAGTTAGATGAAACCTCCTTATCATCTTGAAATTTAATGGGTTTATCAGATTGTGCGAAATGTAAATTTTTTTTTATATAAAATGTTAGAATTGAAGAGACTTAGGGTGTGTTTGGTATGAAGGAAAATGTTTTCCTAGAAAATGTTTTCTTGGAAAACAAGTTGATTTTTGACTTATTTTCTCATGTTTGGTTGGTGAGTAGAAAATATTTTCCAAAAAAGATTTTTAGTGTTTGACTTATGAATGAAAAATGTTTTTGAAAAAATTCTTTTATTTTTACTAGAGTAGAAAATAATTGTTGAAATTGAAAATATTTTTTAAAAACAAACTTAATTTTTTTTTGGGG